ATTGTGACAGACCTACCGCAATGTCTTTCTTCTTTGGCTGTAATTGGACAGGCAAAAGTGAGCTTATATTTGGTATTTCATATTAATCATGACTTGTAGAAGTATTTTCTTGCGACCATTTGCATACAACCTCCCAATATCTCGATGACGACAAGACATAATAAAACACATGCAGTTGCACGGATTCCATAAAACTCACATAAATGTATTGATTTCTATAAAACCTCGAAGGCACACTTAGAGCTTCCTTGGGGAAGTGATATGTGGGTTGGAGCTCGGATCTGATTCCTCCAAGTTTCCCCGGGGGAGCCAGTGTTTGTCAATTTTTGACAGATCTCAACCGGCTGCAAACCTGGTACCCACCTTTAGAGCGTCGTACTATTGTAATGATCTTTATCAAGCTTTGAAGACATCTTTACGAGCTATAAGGGAATGGCATAGGGGTCGGCATTCAAATTTGCTCCTCTATGTCAATTTACATGCATTTCACGTGTATTTGAGGTAGTATATTTTCTTCTTTTTTTGTGGAGGAGATAAACCTAATCTATGACTACTTTTTTTTTACCTTGAACACTAACGACGCCTATATTACCAAGTGTAAAGTCCACTGTTGATCTTATCACCACATTCGAATAGTTAAGCACTGATAATTATAACAAAAATTATTTGGCTTGTTATTATTATGTTACTATAACAAATTATGAGCGACTGTTTACTTATTCCGATACAGAGGTCGGGCATGGCTTAGAAGTTAGCGTGCCGAATTGTGGTTCTGAGGGTACATGATTCGCTTTCCGTTGTCGCAAAAAATGCCCTCTGCTTTTTGGGGCTGTGGGTGTACTATAAGAGTAACAGCAAAGTCTCACTATACGATAACAGGAACTTAAAGAGTTGGGAGTGACGTTATTTACTAGTTGCCTTCCCTCTAGTTTCATCAGTTCCAAAGAGGGACTGCTTGTGGAAATAGCCCTTGAGTAGTTTTGCGCAAATATTCAAAACAATCAATTCAACACCTATGTTAACAAACTTAATGTCCATTGTTTATACTGTCAATTTGTTCCTTTTGAATTTCAATACTGTTATGAAACAACTAATATAAGGATTTTTTTCTGCTTCTGATGATAAAAAAGGGTGCTTTTTAGTGTATTATTAAAAGCTTGTGACTTACAACTTCATTAAAAGCTACAGCTGTTAGAACTAAAACTGTGCAATTCACAATATATAAAATATATATTCAAATCCACCTTAAATAATCTGAAAAGATGAAGTAATAAAGGGAATGGTTATTGTTTAATTTAAGTATGGAAGTAAACTCCCTTACCCCCCCCCCCACACACACACTGGTTCAGCAGTAATTCTGCAGGTTTATGGCGCTAAAATTCGGGCTTCGATACCTATGGTACGTAGTGCACAAATAGCTCATTCAATAGCTTTGCTCTTAACAACCAAACCACAAAATTGTCTTGAAATCAAGCTATGCGTTCGTTTATGTAAATTCAACAAATATGACAGTTACTACACTGGTTACAAATGCGCGTGTTTTTTTATTTAACTTCCTAGATTTTATGTTTAAGTTTAGCGACTAACCGAACTTTAAATTACCCTAGTCACAAAACGTTCTTGAAGCTTTTTTAATGAATAGCCTATTATAAGCAAGCAGGAAATTGATTTGTCAATTTGCTTCTTTTAAATTCTTCAGCCAGCTGACAATTAAAATCCATTTTCGACCAATTAATCCAATTTTCTTTCTTCATCAAAATAAACATCACAAAATATAAAATGAAAAAAAATTAAAAATTCTTGGAGATGTGTACATGTGAGTTTGAGAAATGCGAGTTATTTTGTTCTTATGTAAAACTGAGTATACTTTAATTGCTTGGATGAAAAAACGTGTATTAGTAATTCAAAGGTTTTTATAATAACCATTGTTAATTGTAGGATTATAAAACTACGTAGTGATTAAGGTTTAGTATTTGTAAGAATATACTATTGAGTAATAAATGTAATGGTATTCTAAAAGTTAATCTATGTAAAGTTAAACTTGAGGTTGATTTTGTTTGTTTGTTTTAGCGCAAAGCCACATGGGGCTATTTGCTGTGTTCATCTAGTCGTTGATATTAGTACATAGTTTCTGTAGGGTTATAATTCAGCTTGATAACTATTGGGTAATAATTATACGATTATTTTGCAGATTGATAAATGTAAGGTATGTTATTACTAAATTTCATAAATCAAAATAATTTTAAAGGGAGAAAAATGAGCTTGTTTAGCCCATCAAGGATGTTACTTCCACACCTTACTACTCATGTATTCATCCAATCTTTTCTTGAACTCGGTTAAATTTTCTGCCTCCACCACCCTTGAAGGCAGCTCATTCCAAAAGTCAACCACACTGTTTGAAAAGTAATACTGTCCAAACTGCAGACGACTCCTACGATACCAAAATTTGAACTTATGACCTCTTGTCCTATTATTTTCACTGCTAAACACAAAAACGTTTGATGGATCTATATTATCAATACCCTTAATAATCTTAAACACTTCAATCAAGTCCCCTCCGACTCTTCTCCTCTCCAGAAAAAACAAGTTTAAAGATTTTAGTCTCTTCTCATAGGACAATCCCACCACCTCAGGTATCATCCTAGGGCTCTTCTTTGAACCTCCTTCAACAATTCAATGTCCTTCTTGAGGAAGAGAACCCAAAACTGTACATAGTTCTCTAAATGAGGCCTTACAAGTGATCTATACAGTGAAACAATAATATCCTTTGTCTTGTATTCAATATTTCTATAGATGCTACCCAAAATCCTATTAACCCTATTGATAGCTACAATACACTGTTTAGATGACTTAAGTGATTTTTCGATCACTCACCAAGACCTTTTTTTTCAACCACAGTATTTAATGCATTCCCATAAAAAATTTAACAATTTTGATTAATAACAATGAGGTATGCTACTGATTAATAACGTTAAGGTTCTACTACTGGTTGATAAGTATTAGATATATTACTGATTAATATTTACATACTTGAATTATATGGGTGTCTGAGCTGAAAATTTAGACCACGTGAACGTTAGGCACTCTACGTGTTGAAAATTGCAATCACAGAAAATACTGGACGATTAGAGAACTCAAAATGATTTTGTTATATTTCATAACTTTATACCTTCTATTTTATCACCACCCCAACTAATTTTATAACCGAATAACATTTATAAAGTTTTGAATTAGTGAAACACTTACTGGTAATAGTAAACCCTGGATTTTGTGAAGTAGGCATACTGGAGATTTGTTGGGTGCCAGAGGTTCTACAGTTGAGTAATTATTTGTAAAGGGTAAAACAAGACTGGTCACAACAAAGGTTACATCCAGCCTTTTTTTTTATCGCGAAAATGAATAATGTGCCAAAATCCTTGAAAAAGTAGATACAGTTTTTGTGATCACAGTGTAGAACCAGTCCAGTTAAACATTAAATCTAGATAACTTAATACAATAACCTTCAAAATTCTAACTAGTTTTTCAAACTTCCTATTTTGATATTTACTACCTTTATATTTTACGTTCATTAAAAAATTATAACGTATTCTGAATAACGATCTGTTTATTCTTTTTGTCTTGACTTTCCCCTCTTCCTTCACACAACACACGCACACGTTTTTATAATATTGTAACCCCGGCATCGCAGCTTCTAGAATGGCTCTGAGTTTTTTTTATCAAGTACGAATTTTTAACTCATAGCTCCGTCATCTCTTGACCGATTTGAGATATAATTACAGTTTTGAACTCAGATGGTCAAACCCGTTCTATTAATGTATTTGACCAAGGTCTCATAGATTAACTTACTAAATTAATCCTGCCAAATAAATAATTTCAATTTGAGGGTAGGCTGGTAGAGATGCTGATAAGTTACAAACTCGAATAGGGTATACATGCGCCCCACGCTTGGTATTGCTGGCGCACAAAATATAAGTAATAAAAAGGAAGAAAAAATCTCATAGCTTAATTTACTCTAATGCTGCCTAAAAGAATTTCAAGTGCCGTGGCTATTGAGGATCCCTTCTTGTTTCATTTAGGAGTTGATACTGTTTTGTAATAATGCCATATGGCATGATTATTTGTATATTTTTGTCTATTTTTATAATTTTTTCTCTTACATTAATTTTTACCAGTTACATTAAATTTCTATTTATTTTGAACTATACTTAAAACGTGCCTATTGAAGTGTGATTGAACTGTAAATCTAAAACAAATTTTTAGATTTATGTAGTCCCCCGTGGGACAGCGGTAAGTTTACGTATTACAACGCTAAAATTCTGGGTTCGATTCCTCGCGGTTGACACTACAGGTAGACTACTGTGCTTTTGTTCTGTAACAAACAAAATAAACCTTTGTGTAGTATACATGACGTTATTGTAGTTCTCCAGTTCAGTGTTTTTTCATGAATTTTTTTTTCCTAATGATTAAGAACGAAAGGTCATTCAGACCTGTTTCGTTGTTGTTATTGTGTTATCTGCTGTGTCCTCCGCGGGGAATCGAACCCCCGATTTTAGCTTTGTATGTTCTTAAATTTACTGCTATCCCATTGGGGGATAATATTTCATTGAAAGTTAGGAATAAAGTAAGAATAAATTATTACCATCTCCATGACTACAGAGTGGTTACTTTAAAAGAAAGGTCAAATTATACTCGACTAGTATCGTATTTGTTTGTTGTGAGGAGACTCTTCAATACTAACTTACAACCATCTGTTATTAAGCACAAAACTATACAATGGACTATCTGTGATCTGCAACCACACGTATCGAACCCCGATTTTGAGCGTTTTTAGCCTACAGACAGACCGCTGAGCCACTTTTATTAATATACAATATTAGCACAGATCTTTTAGTGAATAACTTGTTTCTCCATAAACTAATCTCATTAATACATTCTTAAATATACACGTATATCTTTGCAACGGTGCATGTGAATATCATTTTAATTTAATTTTTTTTCAGGTATGACATTTTTTTGTCACTATGAAGGTTGACTGGTTATTCACTTAAGTGGCCCTTGTGGCCAGGATCAAAATTCTCAATCGTAGGAGGAAATTTATCTTACTTCAGAGTAAGTTAAGTAATATTTTATTCCTTATTATCATCACAAAGTGTTTGTATTCTTAATGTGCAAAATGTTTTATACTAATTATATAGATATGTCAAAATTTGCGTTTACTCAGAAAAAACAACAACAACAACGACAAAACAGATCATATGTATGCAATTTTATAACTGATGGAAAAAAAAAGATTTTAAACATTACAGTTCCATCTTTAATACCAGTATAAATTGGTTAAGTCGAACAAAACTATGTCAACTTACTCCATTTGTAGTGCTTTAAAATAAAATTATTTCAAAGTACAACTAATGTTTGTGAACATGAACTTGGAAACGAACTAAAGAAACGTTAAAATACCCCAATTATCATTAAAAATGTATATTTATTTGGAAAATCCACATATATGTCAGAGTTATATATGAGTACTTTATCCCCTTTGTATAATTTAATACGTATTTCAAAATCAAAACTTTTAGGAAAGTACAACAAGCCATTTGTTGTAATTCGATCGTAGCGTCGCTAAACGACTAATTGCAAAACTAAAGACGCCTATACGAGAGGGAAGCTGAACTTCATTTAGAAGTTTAGAGTAATAATATATATTATTTTTATTTATATTATATATATATATCAAGTATTGCTTATTGTCGTACAAAATGATAAAAACTACATTTACTGTGTATATGTGAACTATAATGAATATTTTTGTAATAAAAGAGCTATTGCAATTTGCGTTATGTCTAAACGCGAAATAGCAATAATAATTGGGAAAAAGTTAAGTAAAAATTGTAATTATTTAACCGTTTAGATGGTTGAATCCGCCAATTAAAACAATGAACTAAATCTTGCTCTAATATTGGTACCTTAAAAATTGTAAAACATTTTATACCTGTAAGGTTTGTTATTTGTTATTTTGAAGTTAAGCACAAAGCTACACAATGAGCTATCTGTGTTCTGCCCACCACGGGTATCGAAATCCGCAGACATACTGATGTGCTAATGGGGGCATAAGGTTTGCGTAGGCTAGCTATCCAGGGGCAAGAGACTTTACAGGATATAAATTGTTTTGAAAATTCACGCGAAAAATCAATACACTCGTATTTGTTTATGAGTAACCTCTTTATTTTTAAAAGTTTATATAATTTAGTTTATTTAAAAACAATGTCAACAACACCATCTGTTGACCAGCTTTTAAACAATAAGGGAAACATTTAAACAAAGTCTATGACAGGATTCAACAGTTTTCTTAAGGCAACGAAACCATTTCATATTGTCCAATTTTTTTCTTCTTTTTCAGCCTTTAGAAACACCACAAGTGACAAACCAGTGGTATAAGTACAGTATTTTAGATGTGGCAATACCTATTTTGTGAGACCATTTTAGTAGTTTGCCAAGCAAAATATGGTATGTAAGGAAACAACAACATCATATCACGTCTTACGCTTTTATCTTTCATCACTACTTTCAGGCCCGCCTACAGGGGAGGGGGCAAAGAGGGTAGCTGCCCAGGGGCCCGGGCGAAGGAAACCTGGTTATGCCGTAAAACCCGCAAAGCATCATTAGGCTATATCTTCATTTAATGATAAAAACCATAGTTTTTGGCTTTTCTTTGCATATAGACGCTTGATATGTTAAGAACGACTGAAATAATAATTTGAGTAATAATTGATATTGTTACGTATCTGCTTGTTTGTTTGTTTCCGGTAGAAATTCTTCCCGAGGATCTTCAGCGATACAAGTCCTTTCTTGATTAAACCAGTTTATTCTTCCCCGACAATCAGTACGTTTCTCGTCACTTTATACTTAACAACTTTTATAATACACGCTATTGGCCCGGCATGGCCAGGTGGATAAGGCGCTCGACTCACAATCTGAGGGTCGCGGGTTCGAATCCGCATCCCACC